TCTTGATGGGAGTGGTGGTGCACACCTGTAATTCCAGCACTTGGGAAGCTGAGGCAGGAGGATTGCTGCAAATTGAGGCCAGCCTGGGCTACATAGTGAGTTCAAGGCCAGCCTGAGCTACACAGTCAGACCCTGTCTCAATAAAATAAAATAATAAAATACCTCCTCTCTCTCTCTGGCTGACACTTTACTTCGCTGAGTTTTCAGTTTCATTTAAGGGTATCTGTAACTGCTCACTGGAGTGTTTTATCATGGCTGCCTTAAAAAGAGTTAAGATGTGTTATGTAAATGGACCAACTGCCCACAGTGAATGTAATCATTGTGCCCTGCAAACATGTGCTAGCAAATTTTTTTTAAAAAAGATTTGTTGCAATTCTGACATCTTCGTCATCTCCATTTTGGCAAGAATTGATTGTTTTGTTTTTATTCAGTGTGAGGTCTTCTCGTTTTTTTGTTTGTTTTGTTTTGTTTTTGAGACAGTCTCACCAAGTCTCTAAATTGTGCAGGCTGAGCTTGAATTTACACTCCTCCTGCCTCAGCCTCCCGTAATGCTGGCGCTGGAGGTGTGCATCACTCCGCCTGGCTTCCGGGGCCTTAGCGTGATGAATGAGTTTGAGTAGGAATCTGGACATGTGCTTATGTTAGGAGTCTCTGGAGTTTAATCTTTATTTAAATCTTCTATTCCAGCTGGCTTTCTCTGACACTGCTTCAGAAGGAGAGGTGGTCACCCCTTGTCACTGCCCCGCGAATGCAGGGATCCTGGACCCCTCCGTTTCCTGGTGGATGGGTCTCCTTTTTACTGCCAATTCTGGTTTATGGCAAGTACAGAAATATTTTAGTACTGGGGATAAAGATTCAGGCAGATAATCCACATTGAAGGATAAGGAATTGGGTGGAATTACTTAATTCTTCAAGAACATAGTGTCCAAGCCGGGTGTGGTAACACTCTTGTAGTCCCAGCACTCTGGGAGGCTGAGGCAGGAAGATCACAAGTTCAAGGCCAGCCAGGGCAATTTAATGATTTAGTGAGATCGTGACTCAGAATACAAAAAAAAAAAAAAATTTTTCTTTTGAAGAGGGCTGGGGATATAGCTCAGTGCAAAGGCCCTAGGTCCAATCCAATCCCTAGCACTGCAAAAATAAACAAATAAACATATTTAATCTCAATTAAATCAGTGAAGGACGAGGTAGAATAAAGACTTGTTC